CCGGACCCGCACGGGCGGGCCGGGGGACAGCGCTCCGCCTCCCAGCAGCCAACTTCGGAGTCCCAGCCAAAGTTTGCTCCTGTCACTCGGCGCTGGGCGAAAGGCACGAGTTTAACTTCCTTCCCCAGTAACAGGGGAGTTTAACTCCCCCAGGTAAACACGAGTTTACCCCCGCCCCCCTAGTAACTTGCCCAGCACAGGGCAAGAACGGAAAATCGGATTCCTCTGCTGGATCTACAACAGCTTTTCTATTCTGTATTCTGTTTAGTAGTTTAATTTCTGTTTCTTGACTCCTCGGCTATGAAGTGGAAACACAACAATAAATAACTCAAAATGTGACGAGGTAAAAGCCATTCATACCTGCGAGCTGCCTGGGATTAATGTGAAAAATGGAAGTAACTATTCAAAAGTACTTAAAAAATTCAAGGCTTTCTCTATATTACCTCTTATATCATAGAATTAATATGTATTTTGAGGGAAATTGTGTTGACTTACAGCCCACAGGATATAGAAATGAGATGGTGAAGAAGATTTCCCTAGGAAAATATTTTACACAGCTGTTGCTCAAAGAGCTGTTTACTTTGTTTCATTATACATATGTGTGTGTGTGAAAAACTATGAAGAGATCACCATAAGAGTTTTTGGCAATAAAAAGCAAACTGTTCTAGCCCTTTCCAAAGCAAAATTAAACAACCTTCCAAGCCCGCGTCGAAGAAATGAGCAATGTCTTCCCTGACTTTTTGCCTCCCCTTAGTTCTCCAGGCAATGGTGTAAAAACTCGGTTCTATGATGTGGTCAAACCACACGTTTTCCCCACGTTAAATAGAGAGTGATCTAGTCACTGTAGAAACCGGGGTTGTCTGAGGAGGCTTGGAGCCCTCTTCCCATTTTCTCTTGAAAATAAAAGCTGAAATAAAGTAGATCACAGACAAAAAGGTAGATCACAGCAAGAAAGGCAGTAAGCAGGACAGAGGATCCCGAGGAAGTTCCTGTTGCTGCTGAAAGCCCAAGTGACGCTTGCAACTCCCTGAAGTAAAACCTGAGGACTGAATTCTGCTACTCTGATTTATGTCAGCTCAGAAGTTACAGCCCACCTTGTTTCACTGAAGGCAGCGTGACTGTTCGTGAAAACAAGTAGAGAATACAATCCCAGTCTGCTCTGAAATTGTTTTTAAGGCAACTTTCAACTCCTGGTGTTTTCAGAAGTGTCAGCTTACTTTGTTTGAAAGCGCAGATATGCTTCTTACCAAGAGTAGAAGCGAATCTAGCTATAATTAAATATTCACCTGATTTTCTGTCAAAGTCTTGTCTTGCTAGCATCTGTTCAAGTTGACTTGTCTTATAATTCAAAAGCGAAAACACCTTCAAGAAGCTTTTTATTTTCTCCTAGTTTCAAGTTGCTTTGCCTCTGTTTTTAGCACTGTCAACATCAGCCTCTATTGTGTGCTTTTCCTCTTTCTCCTCCTCTCTCTCTTTACTTTTTCTTGAGAAATAGGGAACAACTAGGCCTAGTAAATAATCCAGTAACTATTGGAAAGCAGTTAAAAAATTCAAATGAGCAACTAATGAAGCTTTGTCTGGTTTACAGACATTCTGAAGCATTTTTAATTAGCTGTTCTTTAATTAATTTTCCCTGCTATGATGACACCATTAATTTTCTCCTGTGTGGCTGAGCTATCTTTATAAAATGAGATGCTGTAAATTCGTAAACATTTATTTTTTAAGCCAAAAAGAAGAAGATACATGTCTTTCTTACTGTGTTGTTTTTTTTTTTTTTCCCCCAATACTGTCATTTCTTTCCCCAGTATGAAGTAATGGTGTCATGGTCCCTGAACAGCTGCAACTTTTGCGTACAATTCACACCCACAGAAATGTAATGTGAAACAAATTCATCTTTCATTGAAACTTTGAAAATCCAGGAGCAGGGAAACTCTTTTAAAGTTTTGAGCCACTAGTTGGTTGCTTATAGAAATGTCCTAAATCAGCACCAATGAAAAGGTGGTGCTGATTTGGATTGAGAGACTGAATTAAGCCCTGATGCAACTGCTTTCTAGACATGTTTTACAAATGAAGGTCTTTGAGTAGTTCATATAAACTCCCAGACAGAGTCAAAAAGCATTTATTTTACCAGCAAAACCTCCAGATTTCTTGCTTTCCTGATGAACTGTCATAACAAACTTCCTTGCCGCATATCTCTTTTTATAGGTGCTTGTGATTTGGGGGAAAAGCTCAGGAACATTCAAAACGCTGGTTTGACCTTTATTTTTCTCTCAAGCTAAGAGTGTTTCGATGAGTGAGATTTCAAAATCTGAATGAGATTTCGAATGACTCTTTGAATGCCCAAAGCAAAACCATCACCACAGGGAAAAGACTTGTTTGAAAATAAATGCCAAAGGAGAGAGAACTTTTTAAGTCTGCCCATAGTAGGTACAGGCCTGGGGGACATAGTGTGTTTTAAGAATAGAAAAAGGTCATCTTCTGGATCTTTTTTGTCTCATTTAATTACCACATCTGCACTTATCCTTGCACCATCTCAGCCCTCCTTTCCTTTCTGGCTTGTTTCCTTCCTTCCAAACAGTATGTGACTCAAGTTTTTTTGCCTCGATTCGTTCATCCTACATGACGCATGGCCACTAAACTCCTAATTTCATTTTGTTCCTTGGACAGGTTGTAATGAGAACGAGGCAGACCACCTGGACAGAGACCAGCAGCCTTATCCCCCATCCCAGAAGACAAAGCGCATGCGCACCTCCTTCAAACACCACCAGCTTCGTACCATGAAGTCCTATTTTGCTATCAACCACAACCCAGATGCCAAGGACCTCAAGCAGCTTGCCCAGAAAACAGGCCTGACCAAGAGAGTTCTGCAGGTAAGAAGCCACGTCTCAGGCTTGGCAGAATTTTCCCCCACTCCTGCCGGTCAATAGCATTTCCCTTTTGTGTAACCATAGTGATACATGGAGAAGGACCTTTGCTAGGGGGGTCCCTAGTGAGTGTGCAGAGGGGTATGGTGTTACATGGCAAGAGTGCCGAATGTACGCCCCACCACCCCAAGGCAGCCAAATACTAAAATGTGATTCGTAATTAGTTGTGCCCTCAAAATGAGGAAACCATCTTTGGAGTCTGCCAACCCTGGGTAGATACCCTGGGATCTGTAGTCTCTCTGTGGTGACCTTCTAAGGGTAGAGGTAGCAAACTGACTCATTTCATACACCCTGGGTGAAGCCTTTCGGCTCCCTTGAAGTAGGTGATGTAGGTCCCTCAGCGAGCAGATCCCCTGATACGTAGGAAGTGAGCTTTGACCAATGTGATCCTCCAGGACCAGCTGGTTCCCCAGATCCTCCAGGACCAGCTGGCTTCCCGAAGGTAAAAAGTCACTTCCCTGGGAAGGACAGCCTAGCAAATCACATTAAAAAAAAAATCGTCTATGGTATGTGCTAGCTCCGTGAAGCGCGGTATGTATTTTTTGCGAAGTACCAGAGAAGGGCAGAAGGTAGAAGGAGACTCTCTTAGCAGCAATTCCTTGTCTATGTTACATGTCGCCTAAAATGTTTTCAGTGAACCTTAGGGAACAGAAAGACTAGGTGACCCATACTAACAGTCTGTATGATAGGGACCGTGTAATTACCCCTCCTCCCTCTTCAGTCTTCTAAAACGATCAAGGCAACCCTACAGCCTCAGCAAAAATCTGCTCATTCACCCTCTGCCTCAGTCTTTATCATGTGGCTTGACTCCAAACCTACTCAACCTGAGAATACAAGACGTGGACATCAAGAAATTTGCTTTCCTCGGGTGAGTGAGTGAGCAGATTTTTCTTAAGGCTGCTCTGTGAGGTCTGCACACTGGGCTGCAACGGTCCAGCAGGCACACGTAGTGCTGGGTCTGGTCCGTAGGGTCCCGCCCGCGAAAAAGCCAGTATCACCAGTAGCAAGGGAACCTATAGTGTGACTTAGGCGACACGCCACACAAAAAGAAACACCAAAAAACCGACTTAAAGAGCAAGAACAAAGACAAAAGTTAAGCAAAACGAAAAAAAAAACAAGCATCGGTAAAGCAATCAATTGGGATTGGTTTGCAGGTTTGGTTTCAAAACGCGAGAGCCAAATTCAGAAGGAACCTTTTGCGGCAGGAGAATGGGGGTGTCGATAAAGCTGATGGCACCTCGCTTCCGGCACCGCCCTCAGCAGACAGCGGCGCACTCACTCCACCCGGCACTGCGACCACTTTAACAGACCTGACCAATCCCACTATCACTGTAGTGACATCAGTGACCTCTAACTTGGACAGCCACGAATCCGGGAGCCCCTCACAAACTACCTTAACGAACCTTTTCTAACATTTCAGTTTTTTTTTTTTTTAAATTCTTACTCTTCTTCTTTATTATAATTATTATTTTTATTATTTTCAAGCCTTTTTTTAAAAAAAAAATAACAAACCCACAAAATATTTGGGAGAACAAACAGCTTGATGTGTAGCATCTGCAGCCACTTGGCAAATGAGTTTGAAGTAATGTGTTGCTATAATAAATGAAGATTTGTTCCTGTTAAATTGTACTCAAATTTTTAAAATTAATCACTGAAGAGATGGTTATGAATCATTCTAATAAGTGCCTCTTAAAATTGTATGTTACTTATTTCCAGAACCTTGAAAAAAATGATTACTACCACAAAAAAAAAAAGAAAAAAACCATACTTTTCCCTCTTGGATAACCAGATAAAAATCAGTTTAATTTTGAGCCAAAAAACTGCTGCTTCAGGATTGTATGTTCACTTAGAGCATTTAAGAACCCCAAATTTCCTTTTATTTTCATAACACATCTAAAAGTTTTTGTGTGCTTTATTTTTTAAATGTTGAAAAATAAACACAAAGCGGATTACGCTGAGCATTGAAATAGTCAGACTGGACGCACCAGTGCTTTTCCTAACGCATTAGGCGCAAGCCTGATCCTCCCCGAGCACTGGGGAGTCTCATGGGGATATCTAAATGCTCCTCTGCCAGTTTTTCACCCAGCTGGGACGTCCTCGGCTACCACTGATGGAGGGGCTTGGAGAGAGAGACCCAGTGACGAGAGTGAGGATGGCAGGATCAGGCTGTTGGGCTCCAAATTTGTCCCGTACATTTGAGGCAAGATCCTGAAAACACCCTCCAGAATGAGCTCACTGCTATAAGGATGTTAGTAAGGTAATAACAGCAGAATAGCAATGCAAGAAAGGAGTCCTGCTGATCTGAAGTATTGCACAGGGATTCATTTTTGTCTGTCAAGCAGCCCTGATTTAGAATTAAAAAAAAAAAAAAGTGTGGCTCGCTGCACGGCCTTGATGCTGTAGCATTAAAGCAAACAGGTTTGCTTTAGTAAGCACAGTAAGCACAGCTACTTTAGTAAGCACAAAAAAAAATTCCAAGAAGACATATGTATGTGTACTGTTAAACTGAGTTTTTGATCAATCATCCTTTTTTTTTTTTCCCAGGGAAAATGGAAATAAGCAAAATATGATTTATTAAGATGTTTAAGGAAAATTATTTCAGTACAATTTATTCATTACTATTTTGAATTTACTTTAGACGTTTCCTGAGATTGTATCAGACACTTTGTTTAACACATGAACTTAAAAGCTTTAGTTCATTAATATCTCTAACATTAACTTTATAACTTTGTAAAAAAATAAAAATTAGTAACAAGTCTTACAAAAATGGAAATCGGCAGTGAATAATTTTAAAGCAGATAAACTCAGAAGCCTTGTGGATGCTGATCTGAATACATTTCTTAGTTTACAATAGTGATCTTTCTTTTTTAAAATCTTATTTAAGCTAAAAGTCTGAATGGTCTGGGCAGTGGTGAATGTTCATTTGTATCCTTTTATTGTAGTTGAACACCAATTAGATTGTGGAGAGTCTCAGAAACAAAACCGAACAAAAACCAGTCAAGATCTATGTCTTGCTTTTAGTGGATTGTTAAGAATAACTTTGCACATATACCCCACTTTTTAGACACCATCAAATCTCTTTTTTGGTGGTCAAAGTGGCTATTTAATATATTTTAAAGGTGTCCTTTTTGGCTGTATAAATGTGTGGTTACATATTGACAGTTCACTGCCCACATTAAAGTGCATTATTGTAATTTTTGCTCAGGGTTTTTAGAAAATTAGCACAGAAAAGTAGCTTATTTTTAAAAAAAAGATGATGGAAGAGATGTTAACGCTGTAATAGAAGAAAGGTGTGTTTGCCATTATATATTTAGCAAGTATGGTTATCATCTTCTACGGATATTAAATCTTGACTTTTCCTATTTCTATTACCTTATGGGCATTTACCACTAACCAGACCAAATGACCTTGGTAAGGCTGAAATCTTTATTAATACACTTTTACAGGTAAAAATATTGATACTTATAAATTTTGTTCTTTGACAGAACAATATATGGTACTAGAGATCTACTTTATTAAGTAGACTAATTAAAACTCAGTTCTACTATGTGCCTTATGATATACCTTGGGAGTAAGTTTGTGAAAAATCAGGATATATGTGTTGTTTGTTAAATTAACTGTTTTAAGCCCTTTTGACACCTCACTAGTTTTGTACTGTTTTACCTCTTATTTCTGAAACTCTTTTTATGGTGTATCCTGTTAGAGGGGACAAACATGTCATAGAAAGCAGTTGTGCACTCTTTCAGATATAGTTGATAAATCCAATAATCTTATATATTGAGCTTCGTGTTTATAGTACAGTAAGTGGTCTAGCAAAATTGTCCATGTTTCTTTGTTTATTGATAAATGCATTGTATAGAAACTATTTCCCCTAAATATTTATGGACCAAACAATTGTGATATATCCTATTAAATTTGTGTGAATAAACCATTTTGAATCTAAGGAGTTTTATTTCCAACCAGTTTTTCTTTTTGTTTGTTTGGTTTGTTTTTTTTTTTTTTTTAATTTAAAGTCTACATGTACCAGCGCCTTTCTTTGCTTTTACGGTACCTGTGAACAATTGGTATTAAACACAGAAACACAGCCTTTTAAATATTTTAAAATACGGTTCCTTCTTAGGTTTTCAATTTCTTCATATTCAGTGTATACACTACTGCTGGTGCAACTTAGATTTTAGCCTTTTAACCTCCTTTTTTTCAACATGCAAAGTAATGCCCCACTGATTTGATACTGAAACCCTGTCCTAGACTTCGAAAAAAAGCCAGAAAACTAGCAGCTAAAGTAATTGCATGACAAATATAACCTAAATAATATGATGAAATGAATCAAGATTTAATGCTAGGTATATTGAACACAAAATAGAATTGCAGACCCCGAAAAGCCAGGTTGCTCTGTAGTTTAATAAATTGTCACTATGATTTCTTTCAGGGAGAACAAATCATGGGGCATTACAGCCAAACATCCCGACGTTTGAAAATTCCCTAAAGTATTAAAAGAAGGGGAAAAGTTTGATCGGAAATCCACTGCAGTGAAGACAAAGACAATATTAGGTTATGATAATCATACATTTAAAAATCTATTGAGCCAAAAAATAAAAACAAAAGACTTGATGTCATTTCCTGAATGTTAACAAATCATGTTATTTTATGGTGTCTAATTAAGAGAACTTGAAGGCTTCAACAAATTGTGTGGTATTAAAAACAAATTTAGAAAAACTATGTATAAAACCAGAGCAACCTGGCAGCAATCTACCCAGCCCATATTCGAAGAAAATTTTTCTTTAAAAAAAAAATCACATTTGTCAAGCACAAGTACTTGTAAAATAAAACCCGAGTGCATTCATTCCACTTGCTTGCTAATGTGTACTAGTCATATCTGTTAAATGGATTTTTGTAAATTCAAAGAGAACTTTTCACTCATTCGAGACCATAGGAATCAAAACCCAGTAATTTTAGTACTATTGTTTCTGGATTATTATTTTTTTTAAATGAGACAAATCTGCATGCACTTTTCCATCTGTCACATATAGTGTACATTTCTGTATGATGAATTTCTCTTTGATGTTTCTTGTATAATAGCTTTCATTAATAAACACTTTATTTGATGCGAACATAGTTAACTTTATGTAAACACATAGCTAATTGTTCCAACTAATTTAAACTTTTCTTTTGAAAAGAAGCAGTACAGTGCAGTTCCAGTATGTTATATATATATTTAAAATCAAAAAGAATGAGGTAGCAATACCGTTGCACAGTGTAAAACTATTTCCTTTGGTGTTAACCTTTTAACTTGTATGAAACCGACATGTTTTAAAAAAACAAACCCACCAGCATCAACAGTAAAACAACCCCCCAATTCTTCATCAATATAAGAAAACATAAGCAGTACAGTATGTAAAATCCTCAAAGACTTTTAGAGCACCAGGATATAATTTGTGGATCCCTGAGCTGTTTACACAGTCACTATGCAATGAGCAAGTATGTTAGAAAAAGTTGGTCCTGAGATTCCCAGTCTAAATGGCAGACGATTTTTACAAGCCAACAAGAAAGTATAACACTAACCAATTCTTAGTATTGAGGTTTTGTAACTGTTGAGCAACTGTTTGCAGAAAGATTTTTTAAAATATATTCCTATTTAGCTGTATAGCCAAAGCGTATGTTAAACAAATTAACATATAAAAGACTTGCCAGAAAATCTTTCATTAAGATGACATTTTTATTATATACTAATGAACCCTATGTAAACAATGTAACTTTTATGAATGATGGACATTAAATATTTCACTTACGTGTATCCTCAGCATTTTGCATGTTTTCTTAAACTTTTCCAGTTTCTGAATTCTAAAACGAAAACCATACAATTATTAACAACATAAGACAAAGTTACCTACAGATTACTGCAGCAGTCTCTGGAAACCGGTAACCCAGTATTCTAACAGCAATAAAAAGGTATCATTTATTGGTGGCAATTATGGGAAGTATTGTTTAAGCAACAGTTTTATAGTATGTTGTAAAGTTCTATTGAAAAAAGTTAGCGTGGTGGACTTAATTCAAATCAGCTTGATCAGAAATTTAAGCATATTGTGAAATTCCTAAACTGAGTCTTATGCGTTATTTATTACTGCAGAAAGTAAGTAAATGTAGGAAAGAAATTATTCGTGACACTGCCATAATATGGTTTCCCCCGGTTGTCCATAGGTAAATATTACAAACATTAACTCCTCAAATCAGTAAAGAACTTCATGGTCTTTAGGGACAAAGAAAAAAAAAAGTACTGTAATTTTTCTTTTGTAAATCACTGAATTCTTTAATAAGTTAGATTCCTTCTTCCCCTGATTTAATACTTACAGACATATTTCTAGTCTAAATTATTGTCCATGTGCTGCTTTTTTCACTTAAATTAGAAAAATAAAATAAGTAAATACTGCTGGTGAAATACTAGCTCAACTGAAGTCAACGACAAAACCATCACTGATTAAAATAAAACCTGGACAATTTTATTTCTCTATGTCTGGTTAGAGACATTAAGGTTTGATTTTTCTTAACAACACTATTCTTCATCTGGAGATAGTCCTGCACATAGTGCTCTGATTGACCTGACTAGTTGCATTAGTCAATCCAAATTTTTCGAAAGATAAAGAACTGTCTCCTGCATTAAGAGAGTAAACGTGTTGAAAGTGCAGCATTACACGAGAAAGAAAAGAATAGTTTCAGACAGGATTTGAGAGAATGCAAGACAAATTCAGGTTTTCAGGATTGTCGCCGAGTGAGAAATGTGCTGGGGGTCTTTCTAGTGGATACACAGCCATGTCTAGACACAGCATTTCTGTGCACTCCTGGTCTTGAAAAAGAAGTCAAATTGTGCAGTCCTAGAGCATCTTACTTGGAAGTGCTCATCAGAGAAATGGCTTGCAGGACCAGGTCAAATGACAGAAGGCTGACACCACAACCCATTGAAATTGGTGAATATTCACCCTCCGACTGCATGGGCTTCAAGCCAGGAGCTGGATGAACATGGAGATTAAATTACTCTCTTGTCTCCAAAGAAAGCGTAACCTTCAGAATGAGGCAGAATATATAGGACAGCCATGCTGCTCTGTGCTTTGGACTTCATTCTGCAGAGCTGCTAATCCAAGCACCTGGCACATGCATTAAATTGACTTCAAAATATTTCTTCCTGCTTCACCCAAATGCAGGACACAAATTATACTGCTGGAATTTCCAGAAGCTACTATAGTGTCAGAGATTTTATTCAGTTATTCTGCAATGCTGAACAATTCTTCTGCGCTTCTCACTTGACATAGACTTATTTCGACACATACCTATATACATACCCTTGTCTTGCCTTCAGATAACCAGTACTTTCATATTTATTTAAGTCATTCAAACCTATAGGAAGCAACTCTCTGTGGTTACACATTCCAGCAAAGGCAGTTGTCATAATTTTTTTGATACTCCTCTACAGTTAAACATTTTTTTTCTGGAGTAGTTTTTATGTTATGAATTTGTACTTTTGTGTGGTTTTTTAGTTCTCACAGCTTTTCACTAAAAAAAAATATGTAGTGCTTGAAATGGATTATTTTGCCAGTTTTTCCTGTAATATTTAGAAAAAACAAATCTACTGCAATCATTGAATTCATGGCTTGCATGTTACTATAAGAGTATTTCCCTCTACAAACTGATATTGTCATAACAAATGGTATCAAATACATTCAATTCTAATTCTAACTAATATGATTAATATTAGAAATGATAGCTTTTTAGCTGCACTGACTTCTGGCTCAAGTGTGCCTCTGGTTTTGGGAATGGGATTACAAGCAAGCATCCTTTGAAATTTCTGGTATTTGCTACTGCTAGGAGCAGAGGGCTACACTGAAGGTCTGATCTAGCTTAATAAAAATCAGTGTCATTTTCCAGTTTGCCCTCTTTTCAAATTGGGCTTTAACAGAGCATAAAAATGCCATGAATAATTATTTTGCTGGTAGAAAATAAAAGAAAATAAATATGAAAAGAATAATATGAAAATAAATATGAAAAGGAAATAAATATGCTTCCCTTTTGCACTTTGGTTACACACTTGAATACAGATTTTTCAGTCTGTACAGATGTGCAGTGTTTTGAATCTGTGAGACTGCTGCATATAGCAAATAAAAAATAAGAAAACGAATGAGCTAAGAAATTATTATCAGACTGCAGATATAAGCAGTCACCGGAAGAGGTGGTAGTTTTTTATTTAGCATCCAATGAATCCTTATTTCATTATTTTCCTTGAGGAATTTGGACTTACTTACCTGAGAACAAACAGTCAAGTAGCTTGCTGCTGTCACATGCATCTTGACCCCACAGTTTGAGATGCAAAAGAGAAGAATCTGCAATGAGAATTTTTTGAGAATAATTATCCAGTATAACAACAAAAGGTTTCCCAATATCCTAAAATTAGCAAAACAAAATGCAGCATCAGGGTATATGAGAGCATTGATTTCTACTAGATTTTAAGACATAAACATATACAGGCTCATGACTTCTGTTTAATTCACAGAGGATAATTAACTTTACCAAAAATACATAGCCTGTCATAACAAGGAGCTGTGGATATAGTGTCACTAGGGACAGTAAGGTAAATTTAGGAAGAAACCAACTTGGCAGCTTAGAGGTCAGTATTTTTCACCTGCAAAGATACTTGCACGATTACTGCTAGGGCTGCAGCCACGAGCATTAAGAAAATACCTCAATTTTTTCTTTTTTTTCTGGCTGTATGGCAGAGTATTTTTTGACTCTATAAGAAAAAGCAGACTACAGTAAAGAAAGTCAAATGAACACTTAAAAGTACATGAATGGGGTTGTGTGCCTTTTATGTGCCTGCTCGCATACTCGATATTAAATGCTATAGTAAGGCTCTGAATATCAGTCTTAAGGAAGCCACTGCTTTCCTTTTGCTTTTTTATTTGAAGATGCTTTGCTTCTTGTACACAAGGTTACATAGACAAGCTGTAACTAAGTGCCTGCTGAAGTAATTTCCTATCCCATTTTGTCAAAACTTATCTTAATAATCAAACACTCGGACAGAGAGGTTTTCCGTGAAACTGGCAGAGGCAAATTAAGAAGTCAGAGCTCCTGCTGTTCATTACAATCTATCAGAAATAGTTTAGCTGCCCAGGAGTGCTTTCTACACTCTGCAACACTAGAATGGTCCTGAATGAATCAATTTCTTATGCCGTTGAATTTATTATGCTATTTAAATTTTTGGTATTTCAAATACTGCTGTTGCTGTGGATGGACCCAAATCAAGAAGCTCTTCAAACTGTATTTTACCACTAAAACAGTAGCATTAGAAGACTATATAACTTGGAGTGCTTGGATATTTCACAAATAACACTCAGATTCTGAGATCTTTTTGCCCCTTTGTGCTGTAACAACAACAGGTTAAACCTAGAGATCTCAAAAACATGGTCGTGCTCTTGAACCTACTCAAACTGTTGAAATTCAACATATTTCCAGAATGCACTGCTGAATTCTGGTTAAATCTGTAGATTTCTGATTGAATATCCCTGATTTTCTCATTTGGATCTATCTTTTAATGGTCTGTTAGACTTTCTGGGCTCTAGCAAAACTGAAAAATGAAGCAGTTCATAACATCAGTGAAAAAAACAATTTTACAGAACTGTTCAGGACAGTTTTAGAAGTGTCCAGAGGTTTGAGTTTTGGCTTGGTTTTGGTTTTTTTTTGGCTTATTTGTTTTTCTAAGAGAAAAGTAAAAAGGAAAGCCATTTTTTGGGGGGGAAAGCAGTCTCACCAGTAACTAGTTTCCAAAGGCCTCTCTCTTCACGCTCTGCATCATTTTGTCATTAAATTAAATAACATTTCATTATGAGAACCTCTCACTTCAAGCAAGCTGAACCCTCCATTTTCTTTTCCTACTTGTTTTCGGTAGCTTTGAACATTTGTGTTTCCTCTGTATCATTATTGCCCGCATAAAGCCAATCTGCGCAGGCCGCCTGATCAGCCACTCGCATGTGAGATCCTTCATGGTATAAATCCTAAAGCTGAGCACACCGACTGCTTTCCTCAAGCATCTTTTTATTCCTTTTATTAATTCTCGAATGTACTGTCTACAGGGCACCAGCTCAGAGGCCTGCTGGGCGGAGGGGCCTGACGGGCCCTGACCAGCCCCAACTGGGCCCTCATCACCCACCAGCCCAGACGCCATTTAAGCTCAGCCCTGAGGCCCTGCTCCCTCCTCAGGCTGTGGCTGTGTCTCACCTAACTCTGGTCCTGCCTCTGCATGACCCACTTCTGCTCCCAAGCTGCCCAGGGACCCCTGGGCAAGGTGGGCTTTTGGTAAGAAAAGGAATACTTTGTGATCTGGTACAGTTTTTTCCTGTTCCCTTCATGGTGCTGTTTTGCAGCTGGAGTTCCTTCCACCCTTTTTTCCCAGCACAGAGTTAGAGGTACCTGTTAAAATTGCATAGAAAATAAAAGGTGAAACAGGATCCCACCTGCTGGCAGCCTTGAACGGCTTTTGGGAGGGAAATGTGTAGGGCTTGGGAATCGCGGGTGGAAGGAAGGGATGAAACCTCTACCCTGGCCCTTGAGGTAAATGTGCTCTGGATTCAGAGCTGTTAGGTGAAAAGATGTTGTTAATGGGCAACAGAACCCTGATAAGAAAAACTAATTTAAGCTCCTCTTTCTACTTCCCACTTATGTCCATATGCTCTAATTCTGATTGTGGAAACACTGATGCGTATCTTTACCTTCCTTACCCCGTGTGACGCTACTGAAATGTATTTAAATGGA